TTCGTCCTGGCAAGTTCATCTATGACTTGAGTGCTAACCCAAAGAAGCGCTGCCGCACGGACACGGTTGACGCGTGCATGCCATGTTTGACCACAAGCTCTACTTTTTGGCCACACGCCAGCGCAATTATGTTTCAGTGAGATTACATGTAATAACGCCACACCTTCCAGTTCAAACAGGGGTGGGGCTAAATCTACTTGTGCACCGCCCAAGGTCAGTCAAGGCTCAGCGGCTGATGCTTGGGAAAGAGCAATTGAGTGTGTTGGGCTTTCCTTGCTGGCCAAAGACTGCAAATGCTGCCCGGACTGTTTCTTGCCTTGAAGCTTCTTTGCTTCTGTTTTGGATGCACTCTGGATGTGTTATATGTTCACCACTATTTTCACCAACACCAGTTGTCTCAATCCCCCGGCCCCAGGATACGGTCTATGTGGATCACTTGTCGGAGTCGGCCCTGAGGTCAATTGCAGGCAATGGCATGTCCATTCCGTGCGCCGGATTTGTTTTGCTGATGACACTCCTATGTGTGTCTGACAAGCCGTAGCGCCACAGCTTTGCAGTACAGTATTAATTTCCGTAATTTCTGCGTTATTGTGTCATCACCTGGATTCAGCCTTCCTGTGAAAAACAAATTGCCTTTTGCTTCAGCGTGTTTTGATGTATCAGGAACTGTGGCATGCTTTTTTAGGTGCACGTTGTGAGATGGCCATGCTTTGCTTCAAGGCTCCAAGGATGCCGCCTTTTGGGGATGAAAAAGAAGAGGCTTTTAAAAAGCCTCTGCCATTCCTTCGGTCTAGCACCCATGATTCCCAGGCCTTCAGAACTTCTGTGAATCAAGGCCCTTTTGGGACAGAGCCTGCTGAGAAGCTGTCTGGGCCTGCAAAGCAAACTGCCAGACAGGAAGGGAAGAGTCGCCCGTTTCAAGACGAGGTTGAAGAGAAGGTTGGGTGTGGACCCCGGCCAAGCCAACCGTCACGGCCCATGTCTGTCCTCTGGGGTGCAGAGCCAGCCGAAGATGGTGATGTGGAGCCTGAGTCCGCTTCTGATGGTGAAGATTCAGATACTGCATACATAGGAACTTCTCAATCAGTGTTTTCACTGGGGTGGCATTCCCTCCTAGACATGAAGAAAGCTTCTTTCTGGAAGGAAAACATGGACACAGCGCCAGAGAAGAAGAAGCGTAAGTACAACAACACTTTACGATCAAATGCTGCTGCGTACAACAGGTCGAAAACCGAGGGCGCATTCAAGAAGAATGGAGTGGATCCTGCTAGACTACAGCGTCTCACTCACTCGAGCTCATGCCAGTGTGTCTTGCTAGAATTAAAAAATAGTGCAACTAGAATAACAGCAAACATCGCAAACTCCCCCCTGTCTGATACTTCCTTCCACTTCCTTCCTTCCACTTCCAAGCTTCCACACTGTCACCAAAAGCTGTTTCGGGCCTAGGTGCCAACATGGTTTGCTACAAGCAGTTCCACAATTCCAAAGAGCTACCACGCTTTCTTCAGACGTTCTGGGAGTTGTCAAAATCTGACCAAGATGGATTGGCCCCTTGGCACTGGGTTGTCAACACCAACCTTGATGGCGCTAGATTAGCCTAGCTTAGACAGGGCCTTTTTGGTGATTTGGGGTAATTCTGTTTCATATGCTTCCAAGATCTTCCAAGGTTCAGCTGAGTCTAGCCAACCCCAAAGAGAATAAAGACAAACAGTTCATGCTCCTTGACAAAGTTGTTGGCTTCAAGTGCATGGCTTCGTTGCTGGGTGTCGGCGCTTCACGGCTTCGGCGAGGGGTGGCCAGTGCTCCTGACCTCCGGCACGGCAAACGGCCGTACATGAGTAAACCTGGAACCTGGTCAGTTGATGGGTTCCTCCGCATTGCATATGACACTGTGGCAGAGACCTTACCTGACCGGTCCCCAATCTTCATTGGCATATGTTCATAGCAAGTGAGGACTACTTTATTGTTATGTGGTAAACAAAATTGGACTTGTTGCCAACAAAACTTATTGTTATCCTATACATATTGTGTGTTTTGCTCCAGGTTCATCCGAAGAGGAAGGGCTGCCAGACCAAAACGTGATTTGGACAGTGATGCTGATTCGGATTGGGAACAGGTAGCTTCGGACGTTGAAAACACTGATGAACTCCGTGAATGGCTGAGCAGGGAGGCTGCAAAGAGCCCCTTTCTGCCAAATCAGGAAGTCGTCAGGAAGTTCCTACCACCAGGGAACGTCATGTCACTCTTCGAGGAATACAAGGCAACACAGCAGATGTTGGGGGGTCAACATGTATCGTACCTAGGTTGGAGAGGCCCTGCTTTGGTATGACTTTTGGTTTTTGTGTTCCCTTCAAACAATTGCAACAATGGGTTATTTTGTTGTTCATCTCTACCTCAGGTACACTACCTTTAACTATGTGTACAAAGAACGGTGGCGTGATATACTTCACTTCAGGGATGCTTCACTTTTCACTTCATGTGAGGTGTGTTGTTCGTTCAAGGCACAGCTGCAAGACCGCACACTTAGCTTTGAGCAGAAGCTGGGATGCCTCCAGGGCTACAGAGCCCACTTGCATGACCAGTTCTGTGACCGAACCGTGCTTCGGACAATGCAATCTGAAGCGAGTGATGGAAACAGTGGTATCTTACTGATCTCCACAGATGGCCTAGACCAGGCCAAGTTTGCCCTCCCCCGGGAACCAGAACTCAGATGCAATGCAGCCCTGACCCTTCATACTGGTTGAACATATTTGCTGCCTTCGTTAAAAAGGAAACCCACTGTTTTCTGGTTTCCCTTCACACAGGTGCTTCGGCCCTGATCTTGTCCAATCCGAGGGCCAAGCACCAGAGGCCACGGCTGAAGGTGCACGGCTGTTGGGCCTATGGGTTCACAGTCAACACCTACATCCTTGATGAGCCCAGTAGACACGACTCTAGCGCTGTGATAGAGATGATTTCATCAACCATTGAAGACGAGCCTTTGAACAACTTATCAACCTTTTGCTTTTGATTGGTAGACCCCATAGACCTCTTTCTAGTAGTTTTAGGTGGCTTTGGATGGAACCGGGCAAGGTCATGCGCATCTGCCGTGAAGAGGGCCGCCGGCCACCGTCGGCGTTGGTAATCAACGCTTCTTGGTTGAAACCAAACATACATTTTGGTCCATAAAGTATGAATTTTCCTGAGCCTCTCTCAGATGTGTAAAAAGAACATTCAAGGCCGACAACACGGTCAGAGAGGCAAAGAACCAGTTCCTTTTGACCTACTTACATCTGTTGACCGCCCAGAACCGCTTCAAAACAACCTGCTTATGCCATCTCCGCAAGTCTCACACACACTGCAGAATAGGTCACGTGGAGGATTGAACATGGAAAGCTTTTGGTGTGGTCATTGTGTTCTTTTCAAATGTGATTGTTTTGATGATGACCTTCTTTCACTGACTCTCAACCCAGATCAATTGTGGGGAATCATAGCGCGAAGGGTGGGGAAAGAAAGTGGCATCCTGGACCCGGACGATGTGATCTCAGCTATTTCCTCAGAGTTGACAAAGCCATCCATAAGAGATTGGGTAGGCAACCAAACACGAATCTCTGTCAAGAAGCTTGATTGCACTCGACCCTGGCGGTCACACTTGCCATCTACTGGGGTGAAGCTTGAGGGCGGACTTCTGCGAGATGGGTCTGGGAACCATTTGTTTTTGTCCATGCAACGAAGAGGTGATGGCTTTGGCCAAACCCATGTTTCGAGTTCTGCAAACTAGTTTTTCAAAACTGAGATCCCCTGTTGATCAAAGACCTCCCTCCTGTGCCCTGAGACCTCCCAGAAGCCTTGGCATCGAATATCAACTCGGGAAGCTTCCGTGGACGAGAGTCACCTCACGACGTGATCTCGCTCATCAAGAGACACATATGTGACAAAGAGCTCAGCCAGCAACCCCTTTTAGTGATGACAGAGCAGCGAGCTAGCAGGATGTCATTGGTCCCTGATGGAAAGCTTCTCAGCCAAACATATATATATATATATTTCTATACCGGCTTTTACAGGGGCGGCTTGTGGGTAATCTCTTTCCCAGAAAGGACCCATGTTCCCCAGGACTCCCCTTGGACCACACTTCTGCCCAGGTGGCCAAACAACCACAGTGCAAAGTGGGCTTCTGACATCCTCAAACTAGCGAACGATATCAAGATCTACTATGGTCACAAATACCAAAGAAGCATCTCCTATTTGGAATCCTTGGCCAACAATTCCTTCTGGCTTGAAGCTGAGCCACCAGACATGCCGTTTCACTCTCGGCGAGTTGAACCTGAGGGCATGGGAGCGCCCAGGTGTGTTCTCCACCAGGCAGTGCTGAATGCACTGGCCCCTGCTGTCCCTTTGAGGGCGGTGTTTGGTGGTGACAGGCGTGAATGAGAGATACCAAAAAGCACTTCAGGTTTCACTTCCCTTGGGTGGTCAGTGACCCCAAAGTCCCATGACCAAGAATATCGGTGCACTTTTGAGGATCCAGCAAAGACAGTCGGTGCACCCGGCCTCTGCTGGCGGAGGTTTTCGGTGGAGTCGATCGGGGTGGGCCAGGAAAGATCGGTGCACCTGAGGTGGCAGGTCCGCAATTGTCGGTGCACCGGGGTTCCGCGGTGGAAAGTTTTCGGTGGACTGGTTGGCAACCGTACCACTGAAACCTGAGTCCTCAGGGGTTTCTGAATGTCCAAAAAGTCAATTGAAAAATTTCCAGAATCCATGTTCAGGATCAGTGGTGTGGCTGTGGGGGAGTCAGCTGAAAACATAAAGAAATTTTGATGGGGTTCCATTTTTTAAAAAAATAAAAATAAAAAATTGAACCTCAAGATTTTGAAAGAAAAGGATCAGTGGACTCTTCAACAGCCATACCGCTGAAAAGTTTTTACGAAGTCGAAATGAAAGTCGGTGGACTTTTGGTACATCGTATGAACTTCGCAAGGATTTTGTGGATCGAATCGCTGAGGGTCACAAGTGGGCCCGCCATGACAGCGACACCTTTCAAGGCCAAGGCTGAGTTGCGAGCTCGCTTGAAAAAGGAAGAAGCTGATGGAGATTCGCCAGAGCCTCCTTCGAAGAGGGTCTGCAACACTTATGAAAAGCAGATTACCAAGATGCCAGACGGAGATTTGCAAACGGTCAAGGAGATCAACTTCCGATTCCACTCAATCAATCCACAGAAGAAGAAAATCCTTCATCCTTAAATCCAAGATAATCCAAGTTCAGACAAACCGGTTTCTCAATCGAACACATCCCACACCAGGACTTGCTGGACTACGTCGGATCCTTCAAGGGCGAGAGCTCCACTGAGGGCCACCATCCTGCAGCGCTGGTGGCTGAAGTCTTTGGGAGCTCGAGTGCAGAGCACAACTTGCTTCACTGCCAGCAACTAGAGAGTTGGTACCAGGAGTACGCTACTAATGTGCGCAAGGCCCCCTACCTCTATAAGAAAGCAGAGTCTGTGGTGTCTAGGTTGTACTTACAGTGATTCCCTTTTATATTATTTTTCAAAGCTGATTGAAACCTCATCAGTGATAAGTCCTCTGGAATGATCCACCCATAGGCCATGATGTTCCAGCGCTCAGGTGATAGATCCTTCGATGAATGGAGAAACAATCAAAGTGCAAATCACTTGCCTCCGGTTCCTTGCTCCTACCATTGAGCAACATTTAGAAAAGAAACATGTTTTTCTACAAGCTCTACATCAACCTTTCCCCATTGTCCTGGGAGGTTCTGCCCACCAGAGGATGGCCTACCGGTCTGTGATGACTGGATTACCACTTTCGAGTCCATGCTCTTTGGAGGTGTTGACTTGAACCGGGAGCCACTGGACGGCTCAATTGAATTTACTTCAGGCTTGGGGTTGGAAGAAAAAGCACATACCCACACAACTCACTGAACAGTTTGCAGAGTCTTGGAAACCCGTGGTTCTAGCATTCACTGTTCTACCTTCATGTTGGTTCCCAAGCGCTGTGCAGATTGCAAGCCGCTGGACCTCCAGACCATAGACCAAGTCAAGGGCTGGACTCGCGCGAGCGTGGTCATGACGTTTTTGGTGGCAGCATCAGAGCTAGATCTCACTGACAGTGCTTCTGTGGAGAAGCTCAAACCTTTGATGCCAATCCTCGACAAGTCATGGATGATCCCTGTACATGTGCCCAGCTTGTAATTTATAATATGTTTTCTTTTCTACCAGGCATTTGTATCTATAAAGCTTGACTGCGCACTGCCCACATGGGAGATATTGATTTAGCACTCAGGTCAGCTTCAACATGGGCGCTGCTGACCGATCATTTCGCAACATGAGCCTGTCCTTTCGGGGATCCGAGAGACAGGCGCCAAGCACACTGCAATTGGCGCTGAGGTTCTCAAGGATCCTCGAGCTTTACGAACAAGAAGGCCGACACCACGCAGAGATGTCAGTGGAGCAGCGACTCACAGACGCTGTGCAGCAGTTTCACGACAGCGCAGGTCTTCAATCCAAACATCGAATAGAGGAGGAGCGATTCAGGGCAGTGCTGAACCTCCTGAGTGGAACCTGTGAAGACACTGGGCTTTGCTTCAATCAATAGATTTTCCTTGAATTCCTTCCCTGTCGCCCCAAGAAAATCCAATTTTAGTTCAGCTTGACAAGACGTGCGTTCAGGAAAGCCGAGCTGTGATTCGAGCGCACCTTGATTCACACAAGTGGCACCAGAGCGCATTTTCGACGGAGCAGTTCAAAGGGACACGCTGGCTCCTGACTGCAAGTCCGAAGGCTTCGAACTGCCCATCAGATCTCCGCAAGTGCTTGACCGTGACACCACTCAGCCAGACTCTCCACCTGAAGCTTGTTGTGAAGACTTTCATGGATTCAGCACGGCGCTTGCGGGCCTCATCCCGCGCACGGGCCCGGCTTAGCCAATCGCAATTTGAGCAGCTGTGCGACTTCTCGTGTGTGTATGCCCACATTTGGTCGGAGGCAAAGCTTCTGTCAACTTGGGATGAGGACAAAGATGCTGCCATGGAAAAGGCCTTCTTTCAGAAGAGTCTCAGATTTTGTACCACATATTTTTGTTTATTTTGTTTGGGTCTTGGTGACTAGCCCTGACCTAGCCCAAAAGAGCTTGTCTGGGGCACCCATCTAAGGGACTATGCAATGGACATCGAAGCTGCTGTGACCGCCAAGCTCAGCACATGGAAGCCACAGCATCTTTCCCTTTGGGCCGATTTGGTGGAGCCTCCCGCTTCTGTGGCACATGTGGCAACGGCGCAGGAGTTGATGGAGATTGAAGACCAAGCTCAGGCGGCCCGTTTCAGGGAAGTCCGGGCCAAGCTGAGCCAGGACATAGCCGCCATGACGGCCTTCAACACAGCGAAGGATGAAACCCAGAGGAGGAGCCATGTGGTCAGTGTGATGCACGAGAAGGCTCAGGTGTCCACTGGGAAGCAGCTCCTTGGCTAGTCATGTTCTTGATCGCACTATGTCGGGCCATAAATGTTGTAACTGTCAAACTTCGATCTCTCTGTTGAGTTAATTAGACCCAGGCTCTGTGAGTCTTACATGGAGAAGTGGTGCCGTGTATCATTGGTGAATAAGAAAGACTCCTTTGACACTGGGTTGGACTCTGCCATCCGCCTGGCTGCTTCGAGCCACAAGGCTTTTTGTGGTCTGACCAGTTCTTGTGCATCACAAAGGTCAGTGTAGTATAGATTTGTCCCTTTCCCATTGTTCTGCCAACACCTTTTCCGATTGTGCCACAGGTGGACATGAAGGATGTTGACACGATCCTTTTCTTTGACTGCACAAAGCTTGGCGTACTTAGCCAAGCTGAGATCAACCTCATTGGCGATTGCTCTGAGAGGGTGCTTTTCCGGAACCCCAGCAGTCTGGGCCTTGTTTGGTCGTGAGTTCTGCTCGACTGTCAGCCACATTTTTGTTTTTTCGATTGGTGCTTAGGGTCCGTTCTGGTGCTGATCCCCCCACTTCTGTGTGGAACAGAAGGGGGAGGAAGCCTCAGGGCCGACATGAGGAGTGGAATTCAAACCATGATAGCGCAATGCTCGAGAGTTTGGAACACACCTGCGATATTTGACAACCACCTCTGACTCTCAATCTGGCCAGGAAGATCGAGGACAAGCTCTTGATGTGCAGAGTGGAATTGAGAGCGTTCACCTTGAACCTAGACCTGTCGGATATCCACGGCAACCGTGAATTGCCGTCAGCGTTCGTGTGCTACTTGGGGGTGCCGGATTGCACGCTCCCATCAAAAGGAACTGCACACAGAGTAGTGCGTGGTGCACCAGGACCTGATGATACAACGAACGTGTGTTCTGGCTTTAACTGTGTGGTCTAGTTTTGATCTGAACTACCCAATTGGTTGAGGGACCGAAGATCTCTTTGCACCTCAGGTTCTGCTCGTCGCACCTTTGGTCTCGCCAAAGCCTTCCGCTGCGATGCTTTCCAAAAGCATTGGACGAGAAGCACTTTGTGGTTCCAGGAGAGGCCTTCCTCTGCCACGATTCCAGGCGGAGCCTCACGGACTTGCAGGAGACAGCGCAGTGGCTTGGAGGAGTGCCAGTCTGCGCCAGCATCCTCGAATCCCTGACAGGCAGGGCCTGCTGGTTGTGGCAAGTGGGAATTCTGGCTTGCTACCATAGTTTTAATGGTATATGTGATATTAGCGCTTGCCTTTGATCATCTTTGTTAGATACTGTGCGACCCCAGGTGAGCGCAAGAGCTTTCACACTGCAGTCCTTGTCCATCCCACCTTGTATGATGGATGCCTTGAGATTGCTGGCATGAAGTCTGGTTTTGTGGTGCTGGGGAGTTCTGGCCACCTCACCAACTACAATGCCGGCAAGGAGATTGTCAAGTCACACCTCATTGAGGACGGGCTGATCAAGTACTCCTTGCAATACGGGTTTTTCAACTGTTTCATTCTGCTGTACGCTTTGCTCTTTCCAAGTCCAAAGTGTTTTGTCTTGGGGTGACAACCATCAGGCCTGGAAGAACAGCCGTCCACCCATGGACAAAGTGATGCCGCGATACAAGAAGAGTCCAGCGCCTGAGGATCTCCCCAAATGTCCAGAGCAGCCAGAACTCAAGATCTGCCAGGTCAGTGATGGCAAGCTGCTGATCCCACAAGACCTACGCCGCACGTTCTTGGTGGACCCGATCTGGGGACCAGAGTGGCGGGCGCTTCTCCAGTCATTTGATTCAGACTGGGGAGTGGCCATTCCGGATGCTGCACCAACTTCGAGTCCGGCCCCTTCAAGGACGACTGAATCAACAAACCCTTCAACCTCCAAGAAGGAGGAGGAGGAGGACTCTAAGTCCTGGTGGCAGCAGTTCTTCAAAGGCGACCCAACCACTTACGATGAGGTCAAAGCCAAGTACGGGGACGATGTGACTGAAATGGCAGGTTTGGACGCCTCAACTTCTTTCCTGTTGACGCCAGGGCCTGCGTTGTACATCAATGCAAAGGAGGCGGTGCTTCTGAAGTTGAGCCATCAGCCGTTGATCTGTCACGGCGCGGGTGTGTGGTTGCTGGGAGAGAAGGCTGAGCGGTTCTTGAAGGACCACCCTGGCAAGGGCATACCATGTTCTTGGACCAGTGATGAAGTAGCTGTGGTGATCGAGGACACGGGTTCTGTTTAAAACTGTGTGAGAGGTCTTGAATGTCAACGTCTTCCCAAAAGGTTCTGTTTCACCACCCCTTGGCCGCCAAATGTTCCTTGAGGAAGATGGCGCGGACTCCAATGCCATGGAGTTGAGGTCGGCACTGCAACACTTCGAGCGCAAAGGCCTGGTTGATTTTGTCCTCGGAGGACACAGCTGCATTCGGCCTCCGAGCGTTCAGCAAGGCAAAGAAGCGGATCGTTTTGAGATCTCTTCAGATCCTCTGAATGCTCTGGTGTGGAAGCCCAATAACATCCAGTCCAAGAATTTGAAGGCGGCCAATGTGGCCTCGGCGTTCTCATGGACTGCCCTGAAAGCAAGTCCTTTGGAAATCGCGCCCCGTCATTTTTTCAGTGTCGGTTTTGAGTTGTGTTTTCTGTTTGTTCACGGTGTGTCTTTGCTCTGGTGTCCTGCAACAGTATCCTTAAGGTGTGGCGGTTGAGATTGTGGGCCACTGAGAAGTGCATAGCGCCAGCGAAGCCACTCTGGTTTCTTCCGCGCGAGCTGGAGCTCAAGAAGGGTTCGTGCCAGCGCATTGTGTAGCAATGTGGCACGGCATTAGATCTTTTGGGAAATGACAACATGAAATGGTTGTCTCAAATCCTCACTGCCACTGGTAGTGTGTGGTTTATGGGTTGATGACGCGTGACCGAACACACGCTCATGGCACAAACTCTGGAGTGAAAACCTTCTCTAGGCCTTGTGAGCTGCAGTCGTTTGTAGATTTCTCGTGAACTGTATGCTTGTTAATTGTCATGGCCCGCATCGCTTCGACGTTTGTCGTGTCCAGCTTGTTGAGTCCAGCTATTTTGATCAAAGCTCGGGTATTTGTTTGTTTCATTTGCTTGCGCAGCTCCATGACCACCAACCTGCCCACTCAAATAGTCGTGGATGATGAGTTGTTGGAGTATGAACTCCATCCACCAGCGCCATCAGCTGTGGTAGGGCCTTCAAGGAAGAGGCCGTACTTTGCCATTCACAAGACAGAGTGCCCACCTCCAGCTGCAAGGATCATTGGTTCCCACTTGTCTGGAACAGCACAGCCGGTTAGTACTGCCGTGGAAAATTATGATCCTCCTGCGCCTGAATCGTGGCTTTGGATGTTGTTTTAGACGATTTTTGCATTGTGTGTTCATGTGATTATTGAACACGCTCCATTACCACTGCTCCACTACCACTAGGTAAACAAAGATTCATTGGCATTGGTTTTTCCTCTCATGAGTATCGTATGCATTTTCTTTGTGGCGCATTCACTTTCTCATTGGTACATGCATTTTCTCAGTGGCGTGTACACTTTCTCAGTGCCACATGCACTTTCTTAGTGGCACATGCACTTCTCAGTGCCACATGCACTTTCTCCTATACATATGTGTTTAAATTCACCCAGGCCCAATCGCAGTGTGGCACGTCGGCTCTTGCAATCTTTGAATGGTGCTGTGGAGACTGGGGATGATGGTACCGACACCCCTCCGGAGCCCACTATGGAGGACCTCTTTGGCCCTGACCCGTACCAATTCCCTGACAAGGCCGACAAGTGTGAGCGGGAAATGGTTGAGGACTCTCAGATCCCTGACTCGCCAAAAGAGGTGGACTCTCAAATCCCTGATCTTGAGGGCTCTCGGATCCCTCAACATGGTGTGATGGACGCTCCTGGTTCCAATGAGCTGACAAGTGAGGAAAAGGAGGCTGATCTTGCCACTCAGGATCGGAAACGTGAAGCTCACCGTGCTTCAAGTAGATTGTGGCACCAGAAATGGTCCAGCAAGGGTGTGCCTCGAAATGACCCACCGCCCGCGCCAGTTTGTCCTGCTCCAAAGGCAAAGGCCAAAGAGGCGGCGGCCGTGCCAGCGCCATCCCTGAGCAAAGCTCGGGAACAATTCATCACTGAATGGATTGCCCGGTCTGATCTTCCTAAGTCCCAGGAACGATTTAAAGCTGCATGCAAGGCATGGATGGACAGTTCAACCAGGGCTGACATGCTGGGCACCCGAGGTGGTGTCCAAAAGTGAGGGTCCAGTCTCCCACTTTGAAGTGCAAAGGAAGTTTGGTTTGAATGTTTACTGATATAATCTGATATATCAAGACTAATATGAAGACTTGTTCATGGATACACTCAATGGACCCAATATAGGATGGCATCCAGAATGGTGCAATGGGGTAATTGCTCCATGGGATGCGAAGAAGACATAAGAAGACCGTGTTCGCTTCCGAACCACTGACTACAAAAAAGGAGTTTGATTCAGCCTGTGCGTATTTTGTTTTTGAAAGAATATGTCCAGCAACAGTTCTTCCGCCCCAGGCCCGAGCCTGCATGGCCAGAAGGCCCATGGTCCCGCCCCACGGGTAAACGAAAGAATGACAAAACAACTAGTCTGCTGTAAGTGTGAAGCCTATAGTGTGAAGGTGTGCAAAAACTAGTCTTGAGATGTCTTGAGGATTGTATCTAAAGGGCGTTCACAGATCTTCACACCTTCTTTGCGAGGGTTTGATTACATGGTTTGATTGCCGGGTATGTCTCGAATGTGTGGTTCATTGAACAAATCGTCCTCGAGAAAAGAATACATAGTTCACGCAATGGTTTTCATGTTTCAACTATATGTATATATAAGAAGGTTTCTTGAACCTTTGAGATGTGTGGGATGTCACAGCGTCGGCCAGGCTCTCTCGTGAACGACATCTTCACTGGAGTGAAGGCTGACAGGTCTTCCTTAGGACCTAGGTGGTAATGTGGATCCAAGACCAGCACATTTCAATACAAGTGTCGAAAACATACCACGAAATCAAACCTATCAGTTACTTAAGTACTTCACTTCGAGTTTTCCCTACATATTTTTTTGGGTCTGTGTTTTTGAGTGGTCTGGGTAGTCAACCACTGCTTGCACTGTCATGGGCATAACCATTGCTTGCTTTGTCATGGGCATGACCATTGCTTTGTCATGTGCAGGACCATAGTTTGTGTCCTCATGGGCATGACCATTGCTTGCTTTGTCATGGGCAAGCTTTGTGTGACCAAAGTCTGGTAGTGGAGGGTGGGCATGGATTCTAATGGAATCTAAATGCCACCAATTGGGGCCCAAATGCCACCAATGTAACTTAACTGTGGGAGTGGGAATAAGGTTGACATACTGCCATCGATCATGGGGTTGCTTGTTGGCGGCTGATGTGGGGTTGGGCGATGCAGTAGGAGCCATGCTGGTGGTGGGAATGGAGGAGTCCGGTTGATTGGCTTCAGGTGTTGGCATGATGCCGGCAAAAGATGGAAGCTGAACGATGGCATGGATGTCCGTCTGAA